GATAGATTCATGAGCCACATGGCTTGACATGCTGTTGTACTCCAAAATTTGCCCAACCTTTTCTTTACCTGGTTTTATGTTTCATTGCATTCTCATAGCATTAGCATTTGCATTTTGCATACCATTGTCCATTTACAGGGGATTGAGAGAGGTGTGTCTAGAAAGAGGAGGTTGCCAAAGGCTCTAAGCCTAATCAAGAAGTCTTATTCAAGCTATCAAGAGTTTATCATCATCAGAAGAAAGTCAAAGTTCTTTGGAAAAGACAGATGAATGAGTATGGTCCACCTCCTATCTTGGAAGCCATGTGAGGTTCATCAGATGATATGGGGTCCATGGTTATGGATGGAGAACATTGTATAAGCTCATTGGATGTCTTGAGGGTCATTAAGGAGCTCGTTCAAGTCATTGCATCATGTGCAAGGAGCCAGAGTCAAAGGTGATGCAGTTAGGGTTTTCATCTGGTCAACCCTAAGTCAACAGTGAAGTTGAAGGAGATTAAGACTCAATTCTAAGTCTTTATGATCATGGAATGTTGTGTTGAGGTATCTAAGATGTTATTCCAAGATCAAATCAAGAAGAATCAAGAGTGTGAGAAGTTTCTAAGCCAGGGTTTCTAAGCTTGTCAGTGTAAAATCCCCTGTTTAGTGCCTAACTTCAAGACCACATATCTCAGGATACAAGTTTCATTTCATCTTGACTCCAACTTGAAACTTGTAGAGCATGTTTATAGATTTCTTTTGAGTACTAGAACTCATCCATTGGGTTTCTAGAACTCAAGTTATGATGCTGACAAGTTATGGGTCCTCAGATGAATGTGATTTTGGTTAACAAAAGTCAACTAACTTCCAACATTTTTGACCTAGAAGGATGTTTCTTCTCACTTTGACCTAAACATAAAAGTTTTTCCTTATGATCTTAGATTTCCAAAAAGTACTAGAAGTCTTTCATCTGATTTGTAGAGCTCAAGATATGCAGCTTGCCAGGCAGGGGTGTTTTGGGAAACGTTGATTATAAGTCATTTTCGTTAAAGGTCAATTTCACAGCTTTGCACATCTCAAATGAAACTTTCTCCAACATAAAACTTGCTCCAAATGGGCTTATTTACATCACCAAACAATCATTTGTCATGTATTTGGCTCATAGGTGAAGAATGGTGAAGAAAATTCCATAGAAAAGTACTTAAAAGGTATAATTTGGATTAAATTCATAATGAACCATTTCAAGACAAGTTTATGCATTTTTTGAGTGCCTTGAATATACCAATTGAAATGACATTTTCAGAATTTGAAGTTGATGAGTTTTGGTATGTCATTTTTCAACTTACTTCACAAGGAAGCAACACATCCAAGATCAACCATTGGATGGTTTCAAGGGATCAATCTTATCCCTCTGATCCCTCCAAGCCATAAGCAATGTGTATGAATCAAGTTGGAAGCCATTTGAGCCAAGTTCAGTCGTGAATTTAGCAATCTTCAAGTCAAATTTTTGGATTTCCAATTTGCCTCAAACATGCCTTGATTGGGCCTCAATTTCATCTGCATCCATTCCATATAAACTCAGGATCCTTCACAAGCTCTCAGAAGGGATTTTGGAGCCAAATTGAGCAAGAATTCAGTTACAACAACTCAAGAGCAAGTTGAAATCGGATTCCTCATTCCAAGCCATTTCAAGTCAAATTAAGAGTACCTGAAGCTTCCTTGAAGATTGTAGAACGTTTATGGGTGGTTTTGCACAATCCTCATCACCAAATCAAGGCCCAACGGAGGCACTCCGTTAGGTAAGCTATCCTTCACAAATTCTCCATCTTTAGGTAGCAATCAATTGCCATTTTCATATATTCATGATCCCCTAGCATCATAGGTTGTTTCTGGATAGGTTTTATGCTTGTTCTTGCCAATTCTTGGATGTTGCTCAATTTTGATTTGGTTTGTATCTCATGATTTAGGAGAAATAAATTATCAAGAACCCTAGATTCATGACCAGTGAAATGTGTAGATGAGTTTAGACCAAGACATTTTAGGTTTTGATCCCTCTGTATTTTTGGTCCATCGGAGAAGACGACCGGAGCACGGTGGCTCCGGCGTCTGGTTATTTCATCAGGCATGCTTGAGTGGATGCCACATCAGGCCTTGACCATTTGACCTATCCTAATCCAACGATCATGATCTAATCTGAGTGAGCTTTGACATTTGACTGGCCACGTATAACCATCCAAAACACACCGTTTCATTTAAGTGCTGAGTGGTTTGGATCATGGGCCTTGTTGGCTATTCACACCCCCATGCGTAGCAAGCCCAACGTTTGAACTGAAATAGATTGCTATTTGATACGCACTTTTTTCTATTTCTTTTCTTTTTCTTCCTTTTTCCATTTATTTTTCTGTTTAAGTTTAATTCAATTAAAAATACCTCAAAACACCTAAAAAACTTGGAAAAAATATTTTGTTGTACTTTGGGATGTTAATTGATTTTACAAATTTTTGGATTAACTTTTAAGCCATTTTCCAATTAAATCTTGATTTTTCATTTTTGAGGTATCTTTAATTGGATTAAAATGCATATCTCTTGTATTAGATTTTATTTTGGGATGAATTTTGCATATCAATGTTTGATTTTTCTTGTGCATATCCATGACATGTTGATTGATTTTTGTGATATTTCCCCCCCTGAATTTATTACCATTTGGTTAGGGTTTTAGCTTGATCTTTAGGACCCTCCTTTTGCACTAGTTTTTAGGGTAACCCTTAGAACTTGCCCTCTGTTTGCCTAGTTAGGTTTGGACTTAGTCTCCACAATCTTGACCCCTGGTTTCTAACATCATAGGGGTTTCCTATAATTTTATTTGGCATTTTTAGGATTTGTATTCTATTTTTAGTGTATTTTATATTCTAGCCTACTCTTGTATGGTTTTCACCTTGATACATGAAATGGTTTGATTCTTAATTGAGCTTTGTGCCATGTTTGAGCCTCTAATTGTTGTGTATTCATGTCATATACATAATAAGGTGTTTGTATGTCCAATTTTGGGTTCCAATTGTGTTCATAACGTGTTTAAGTTTGGCTTTCTTTTAGGCATTTCAATTAGGGTTTTCATGATATATGTTTTGCTTTATCTTGTACATGAACTTGAATTTTCTTTTGTTAATCTTGTGATTGAGTTTGTGAACTCTCTTTTCATCTCTCTTTATGTCCAAGGACCTTGGATCACCATTTAAAGTTGCTTAATCCTTCCTTAGGAGGTATTTGAAG